TGGTATATCTCTCTTAAAATCTTGTCAGTGTCAGATCTGTTAATAATGATACTAGTAACTTTTCCAAGTCAATTTTGTTTGTCTATAAACAACGATCTGAGAAAATTATAACGAAATTAGGTGAGATCCCGGAATTTTTAGCTGCATTGTTTTAAATGTTTTTTGAATGAGAGATTGATTCTATTTTTTTTTGTATTTAAATATGAAAAGAAATCTAGATTGGATATATTTAAACATTTTTTTCTTTAAAAATAGAGATTTTACATAGATGTTTTCCATTAACATTTTTTTCTTCTTTAAAAATAGAGATTTTACATAGATATTTAGCCAATCTAATATTAGTTCAAATTTATTACGACATTTGAAGCAATATATTTAAAGATAACCTAAATAGATTGTTGACTTGAGAGTATAGAACTTATTCATACAAAATCTATGGAATTTTTCTTTATTTACATATTACATATCCCTTTTAGTGATACTGGTACTAGAAGATCATTTTTGGGTGTTATTTTACTTAAAATGAAATAAATTTCGAACTTGGAAGGAAACTATCAAAGTACAACCACATGCCAAACTGAACTCTCAAAGATCAAATACCACAAGAGAAAAAGAAGAAAAAACCAATCATTCTTTGCGTAAAAGCATAAATGACAACCCAATTTTGGAATTTGTCTAAAAATTAGCTTGAAAGCATCGAAAAGAAAAAGGAGAGGGTAAAACCAAAACAAATAAATGTCTATTAACAGTACTATGACCCACTACTTACAGAAAGACAATAGATCTATCAATGACCCCAAAAGAAAACTGTTAAAGATGATAATGCAAGTCTTCTTTGTCTCCTTAGTTTTTAATACTAAATGCAACTAAACAACTCTTGGCAAGAGGAGTTAACCGCTCATCGATCGTGCGATGATCGATCTCTCAAAGACGGAATTCGAGGAGCTGCACTTGTAAGGCTCTTGAGGAATCAACATTGAAAGGATTGTTCAAGCAAGCAAGCAAGGTCCAACTTCCTAGAGCCATTTCTTTGCTGATCAAATGGTTCTTGTACAGTCATGAAAAGGGTAAGATGAGAACAAGAATAGGTCACTTTCCAAATACAGAAAGACGGTGCAAGTTGCAGAGAAACAAAGATAAATCACTTTCCACAATTAAATATAACATGTTTACCTCAAGGGTCTACTACAACTACTTTAGAATGGTGGGACTTTCCCGATTTGGGGTTTTCCAAGCATGTGGCACATTGAGATTTGATTTGATGAACCATTGTTCCAATTAAGACCGTTCGGGTTTTGTTCTTGAACCACGATGGTTGTTTGCTTTCTCACTTCATCGAAAGATATATATAACATATCTGTCATTGACAATAACAACTAGAATGAATCAAGATTAGCTCAATCATAGCTTGATATGATTGCACAACAACCTGAGTTGCAAAAAGAAAAACCCTTGGATAATGGGAGATGAATCTCAAATGCAAGCGAGAAAATTTAAGTTAACACAGTGCATTATAGCTTGACCAGACGCACAACAAAGAGAAATCAAAGTCCATTTTACATATCTGATATCAAAGAGCTCCAAATCGGATTATCTTTGAGGCGGATAAGAACAAGCGCACAATGACAGACAATGGTATGCACTACATAGAACGCATGGACCAAATTGGAACCTTCTTAATAAAGTTGTAGGAAGAAATTAACTCCATAAGAATAAAACATTAGTCTTAGAGTCGTTGAGACTACCTGATTACTCATAATACCCTTAAAACAGAACAAAAAGGAAGTAGAATCCTAATACTGATTTTGTTTTCAAACTCATTGACAATAAAGTGGAAGAATTTCTACAAGCTTGAGAATATTAACACTTACACCAATCACGGGTTCTCTTCAAGCTTCAAGGTTTCAACTTTAAACATGAGTTATATAATCTGTATAACCAAAATTAGTTGATTACGCCAAATCAAACACAAAACTGATAGGAACCATTTGTGTTAAACAGACTTAAACTTAGAACGCAAAACCTCACATATCTCAAAAACTTAAAAAACATTAACATTAAGGATCAAGCTCACACCAAAACACAATTAACCCGATCGAACAACCAAACAGCTCCCCATGAGAAATACGGCTCGGCTACTAAGCAGAGAAGAATCGGAATTTTAACATTTTCTCCAGTTGTCGAACTTGGCAAATCATAGTCGTCGGATCAAAAGAAAATTCGATGCTTTTCCGATCGTTGGAACTGTTGTCGCCTTGAAGCACACACAGTGTCACACTTCAACTTGGATTTACTACTTTCAAGTGTTTGATATGGGCTTTAAGGCCCATTAAGTAACTTAAAGCCCAAACAATGTATTAGGGAGCAAGCCCCAGTGCTGTACCAGTACATGCGCAAGAGAAACAAGAAGCTTGGGAGATAAGAGAAGCTGATCCAAAACAATGATGACTCAATTCAAGCAACGGTCATATCAAGAAATGGGGAGGATACGTCAGAGAAGAAGACAAAGGAGTGAAAGCAACCAAGTGTGAGATCGACTATAAAGCAGGGGTGATGCATATCCTTGGAGACGGCTTGTAATTTTGGTTTTTTGTGAGTGAGAGAGAGGAGAGAAGGGCTCCTAAACATCCCTATTGTATGTTACTTTTTTGGTGTGTTCTTGGAGTTTTATGCAGAAAAAGTCTATCTTTATTGTTCCTGAGAGTTTTTGTCTAAGATTACAAGCATTTACCTAACAAATTGGTATCAGATTCACTTCGATCCTCCAGTGACATGGCTAAAGATTTATCTACTCCGTTGTCTCCGATTACAGAGGTTTCCCCCTCACAGGAGGTTTCTCGGTCGGTCTCTGATGTCGACAGCCCTACCGCGTCGGTGCTGTCTCGGCTGTTGTCAGTCATGGACCATATGAACCAGAAGTTGGATGCTGTGGTCTCCTTGTCCGAACATATCGGCTCGTCCCGCAGTGCCTCGGTATCGGACCGTCGTCCTGACAAAGCCCCGATGTTCACACCACCGGGGCCACCCCTCCGCCGCCACTACCTTTTCCACCGACCTGACCCCATATGCAGTTGTTTCCCCCACAACCGCACGACGCTGGTCCTGCCTTCGACTTTCCTCTGCCACAACGACAACAGCCGATTCACCGATTGGAGCTTCCGGTCTCCGACGGTTCTGATGTCGAAGACTAGATCGATTGAATCGAGCAGTTTTTTGATGTTGGGGCTTACACAGAGCGGTAGAAAGTGTCAAAGGTTCGTTGTTGCTTCTCCGGCCGCGCCCTCAAATGGTACCTTTGGCAGAAAGATTTCGACCCATTCCGCAGCTGGGCTCATCTCAAACGCCGTCTGCTGACCCAGCTTGTGTCCTCCTCTCAAATTATGGCGGGTGAACGACTGCTCACTCTTTGCCAAACCGGCTCTGTCGATGAATATTGCGACGAGTTCATCTGCTTGGAGGTTTGGGAGCTCTCGGCGACAGCATCACCGACCTATCCTTCGGGTAGGCAGCCCAAATTTACCGGCCCGACCCAACACCGCTCCTACGAGATTTTCGCGTCGTGGACCAACAATCCAGTAGTAGGCCACTGATCTCTCAGCCCAGTTCGACACAACATGCCTCGACTTGCCCTACGACGTCGTTTGCCTCCCCAAAAGATAATCCTAATTCGCACAATCGGTTGGTT